CCCCCCCCCCCCCCCCCCCAACCAAAAAAAAAAAAGAAAAAGTTGTTATTTACACCATACTTGATTATTTTTTTTCCCTACCCCTTTTAAAACTTTATAAGCAAACATGAAGAGAAGAGAATAGAAACATCTTGTGCAGTGTTAGATGTGGCAGATAACTCCCTTGATCTAGGATTGTTCAACCCTGTTTTCTGCCAATTTTTTGGTGCATTTGCTTATATGTGGTTGGTGTCTCATATATTCTAGCTATACTTCTATTTTTGTATTGCGGAGTGTTTTTAACATCACAATTTAGAACTATATGACGTCATAAATACAATTTTAGCACCAATTAATCAAACCTCATTGCAAACATATCCTTAGATACTACAGTTACCGAACCTACGAAAGTTATCTTCACAATCAATAGAACATAGGAAGTATCTGCCAAAACTTGAAGATGATGAGTCCATGTAATTTATCCAGAAAAGTAAAACACTCGTTATACTTCGATCGTTGACATGTTTGTTCAGGAAACAAAGAGAAACGTTCGTGATATAATGAAATGAAAAATAATGGATATGATCACAATTCATTAATTCGCTACGTGAGGGTCTATTTATATTTGTCGAGTCATACCGAAGTTTGTTCCATGGCTGATTCTGCTAAATGAGAGGGTAGCTCATATACAGTACATCTCCTGAGAAAATGTAGCGCAAAAGATTTTAAGTTCTAAAAGCACAATACCCTGAACTAACGCAGGTGAGGCTGCTGAGCGAGACAGACATCCTAGTCTCCAGCCACGGAGCACAGATGACAAACATGATCTTCATGAACAAAAACAGCAGCGTGATGGAGTTCTTCCCTAAAGGATGGCTCGAGCACGCGGGCGTCGGACAATACGTCTTCAAATGGATGGCGTCTTGGTCGGGGATGCGGCATCAAGGACAATGGAAGGATCAAGAAGGAGAAAACTGTCCTTACGATAACAATTCTCAGTGTTTTAATTTCTATAAAGATGGCAAGGTTGGACACGATGAAGCATATTTTGCGACCTGGATGGCTGATGTCCTTGATGAGGTGAAGGAATTAAAGCGCAGTGCTAAGCAAGAGATCAAGGAGAGTGCGTGTCATTGCCCTAGCTAGTGTTGAAAATGTATATCGGTGAGGCTAATAATAGAATTTGATTATTGTTTGGTACCTAAGAAAGCCTTTCGGTTTTGCTTTTCATGTACCAAGAAAGGTCGGGAAAAGAAAATAGATGAGCTATAACAACAAAATGTTGACAGAATAATGAGCAATTTTCATGACTGTTAATGTTATTATCCATTTCGATATGGGTACGCTGTTGTGAGCCGGTGAACTCAAATCTCACTGTGAGCTAGCCTAATCGGTCGGTCAAATTCATGACCGACATGGATCATCTTGTTTTAAAAACCATCAAATCGAAGCTATATGTTTTAAAAAAAATTGTGTTTAAATCTTCTAAAAATTGAATCAAACTAATTTGATGTATTAATTGTCAGACTGATTAAAGAACATCCATTTTTATAATAGCTAATGCAATAATTAAATATATCTAAACTATATAATTTTTGAATCTCACTTCACTTCACCGTCTCATTTTATCATTTTCTTATAGCGAGGAAAACAATAATTGGGATAAATGAGATGATAAAACTTTCTATATGAGATAACCGGCATAGCCTATCGTGATGTGCATATCTATACAATTTATATGTATAGAAGTTCAAACCGACTTCTAGCTTACAATGAGATAAATATCGCATTTTACACCATCTCATTTTATCGTTTTCACACGTATACATAGAGAGGGAGGAAGGATGCCTTCAGATATTTAAAAAAGATCTGGAGTTGACCACCTCCTGCACACACTCGTTTTCTTGGGCACGCATGTCCCTCTTGGATCATGAAATAATGTATCAGTTCTCGTTAGTTGCATATATGCATTTATTAACCCCGGCCCTAGTTATGAAAGGTGTCCATGCTTCACTCTTACTCTGAGTAAAGTACACGCTTCCCTCTTACTCAAATTTTAATTTAAGCTCTTAGAAAAACGCAAGTAAGATGTGGATTAAATGTTTAAGACTCTTCTAGTTCAAACACAATCCAAGTTTACAAATTTTTTAAGAGGACAGCACGTGCTTTCATAATTAGTTTATATTACGGTAAATTTCACATAACCCACTTTTACCTTGGCCTCCTTACAAGATAACCTCTATGTTAGTCTAAGTGTGTAGAACCAAAGCTGAATAAAAAAGATGAAGAAAACAGGATTGACGCGGGTTGGTCGACCGACGAGGTGGATCCGGTCGACCGTGACGCCTGTAGGAAACTGAGAAGAAAATCTCACTCTGTCCGGTCGACCGCGAGAGCTGATCCGGTCGACCGCGAACGTGCACCAAAAAATCCTGTAGGAAATTGGCGCTCTGGCCGATCGACTGCGGGACATGATCCGGTCGACCGGAGTCGGGTTTTCCTGTTTCCAAATTTGTTCGGGATTCTGTTTTGATCTGGGATCCTATATATACCTAAACGTTTTTAGGGTTTGTTGTGCATCAAAAAAATAAGAGTTTTGAGAGGATTCTTCAGAGAGATCTCAGAGATATTAAACCCTAGTTTGTGAGCTTTTAATCTTTCTTCCAATTAATCAAAGAAATGTGTGGTGTGGCTCCCGAGGACGTAGGCATGTTGTCGAACCTCGTTAAATCTGGTGTGTTCTTTCTTGTTTACTTTTCTGCAAGTTTTATCTTTTATTTGTTGTGATTTTCCTACTTTCCTACTCTCAAACACAAGGTCCGAAAGAACACGTATTCAATTTGATTGTTTCGAATTCCCAACACTCTAAACTAGTTTCGTTCCACAAAATTCCCTTAACTCTGAAGGGTTCGCACATAGCCCACAAAGTAACATCGAAAAGGGTTTAACTTGTCATGTGCCAAGCCCGTGACAAATAAGGCAAAAATTAATACCCCTCGGTTGAAGAAATTAAATGAAGCTGTGATATAATGTCGTACGAATTAATACATCTACTCAAAAGCCCCCCAAGAAATGGACAAATTTTCAAAACCAACCCATTTGATAAACTAATTGCAAAAAACGATCCGTTTCAGATTTATTTAGAGAAACCGACCTGGTTTCAGCACTGTCGCTGAAACCAGGTCGGTTTTTCTAAAAAACTTTACGAAACTTCACGGGAGTTCAACTCCCGTGAAGTTTTTTCTCATAACAAAACTAATTTTTTTTCAAAAACCGATCTGGTTTCAGCGCTGAGGCTGAAACCAGGTCGGTTTTTGCAAATAAAACTGAAATGGGTCTTTTTTTGGGAATAGTTTATCAAATGGGTTGGTTTTGAAAATTTGTCCCCCAAGAAATCGAACTCCCTTCAAATTCATCGATCAGGATTGATATAATGTACGAATTAATCTCTCAAATCAAAGAGCTTTTAATTCCCAAATCCTCTCTCTCACTGTGACCCCCTCCTAATCTATGTCCAAGCTGCGCCTCATCCTGCTCTTCATTACCACCATCAACCTCATAATTCTATCACAATACCTCCTATCAAATCCACTAACACAAGTACCCTTCTCCTTGTTGTCACCGAATCTCTCTGCATCTCATTCTGATCACCCCCAAGACCCCCCCACATTCCTCCCTCTCAAAGATCCCAGACTCACCAAATCTCCGTGGACATGGTTCATGAGCTCGCTCAACGACACCCAAGAACCAAACTCCCCTCTTCATCTCCTCTTCCCTTCTCCTCCCTCTAACAGCACTCTCCTCTGCCTCAATGCTCATGACCGACGCAACGGCTCCAAGAACTTCTACGCCCTCGCAAACCCGAACTCTCTCCCGCACAATTCAACATTGTTGCCAGGCCTAACCGTAGTCTCCGACACGTACTATGATTACAACAACCTTTGGCACTCGATATCTACGGTGGTTCCTTTTATAGCTTGGCATCGGAAGAACGAGTGCGCTAGGCCGAAGAGATGGGTGCTGTTCCATTGGGGCGAGCTCAGGACTGAAATGGGGAGTTGGGTTAAGAGCTTGACGGAGGGTGCAACTGGCAATGAGGTTAAGATTGAGGATTTTGAGGAGTTTGAGGGTTTTGGGTCTGTTTGTTTTGAGAGGGCTGTTGTGTTTAGGCATGCTGAGAAGGGGTTGCCAGCAGGAGAGAGAGAGAAAGTCTATGATATGATTAGATGCAGAGTTAGAGATTATTGTGGGGTAAATTTTGATGGTTTGAGGAATGAGATTAGAGTTACTTTGTTGTTGAGAGTTGGAGGGAGGGCGTTTAAAAATGAGAGTGCTGTGGCTGGAGTTTTCCAGGGGGAGTGTGAGAAGGTGGATGGTTGTGCGATGAAGATTGCATGGCCCCATAATATGACATTTTGTGATCAGGTGAGTAGCTCCTTTTTTTTTAATAAAAATTTTATCAGAAATAAATATCCTATGAGAACTATTCAAATGCGAGCAGACAGTTTATAAGAGGGTCCTCTGTGAATGACACAGAGCTTCTTTGTTGCTCGCGGTTAATTATGAAAGGATACATACTCAATGTTTTCCTCCATTATTATACTGTTATTCTTTTTTTTGTACTCTGGGAGTCAAAATATGGAAGTTCTTATGTAGCTCCATTCTTTCACAACATATTATCTAATCTATTGAATTAGAAAGAAAAGCCTACCATTCTGTTTGGAATTTTGGTGCAACGACAGTAGAGTCCTCTAACCTAGTATTAGAGCGACCCAAGTTCAATTTTCAAAAAAGTTAATATCACCGTGTGAGTCTAGATTTTAGCACATAAAATGGCGCTCATACATCATGTCGCAGGTGAAGTTGCTGAGCGACACGGACATCCTTGTTTCCGCCCATGGAGCGCAAATGACCAACTTGATCTTCATGGACAAAAACAGCAGCGTAATGGAGTTCTTCCCTAAAGGATGGCTTGAGCACGCTGGCGTTGGACAGTTTGCCTTCAAATGGATGGCAGGTTATACAGGGATGAGGCACCAAGGGCAGTGGAAGGATATAGAAGGCGAGGATTGTCCTCACGATGACAACGCCAACTGTTTTGCTTTCTACAAAAATGGTAAAATTGGGCACGACGAAGCGTATTTTGCTACTTGGATGGCCGATGTCCTTCGAGAGGTGAAGGCGTCGAAGAGCAGCAACAAGCAAGAGATCCAGCAAAGTGAATGCCCTTGCAGCTGAGGTTCTTCTATTGTCTAATTTTTGCACCACAAAATTATCACAGCTATGTCTGTTGTTGTCATTACATTTATTCGTATCCGCATGCTCTACAATGTTCACAAATTCAGCGTCCAAAGGTTTGTATCCAGATACAAAGGGCATCGTGACATGAGCTGTCATGCAAAAAGACTAGCAGTGGCAGTTACAGCAGACGACCAGTACTCAAATCCTAGTATTCGGCCATAAAACAGTCGACTAAGATTGTCAGGGGCATGGGTAAAACTATCTTAATACTGAATGAAGTACACATCAATTTGTGCTCTTGACGAGTTACGACCTTACAAAATTAACATCAGTCATTAGCTAGGTCTTATACCAAAATATTTTTACAATAAGTATTGGTAAAATTGCGAGGGAACATCATTACACCTCGGTTAAACACAACGTTTCATAGTTAATGATTGACAATAATAACCCACAGAAGCGGTCCCCGGAGCAAAGAACATATTTTGCAAGCCCACGCATATTAACTTGAACCAGGAAAACACAGTACGTCAATGGTTATGTACACTATTCCGTTCTAGAGAGTACGATGACAAAAGCATGTTTATCGAATATGTCTCCATTAAGACTAGATACATTTTTCAGACAAATTTATGGATCCCCGACAATCACAAACCAAGAGTACAAAACTCACTCTAGATAGAAATTCCTCAAGTTCCCGCTGATACTTCTATCTCTTTGAGAATTTGGACAAGAAATAGACTACAAAGAAGCAGAAGAGCGCGAAGAGAACCACATGTAGGACATGATTTGAACCGCTCTGAATGATGCTCTTGTTCAGCCTCCTCATATTGTTCTTCACCCCTGCCTGAGCTTTAAGTAGTGTCATTTGCTGTTTAGGAAAGAGAAACTGTCTTTAATATATGCAATATGTGATAATCAGACCACCAAAAGTAGGCTCAAATGACTACAAAGAGAAGTAAATATCAGTCGGAGAAATGAAGTTATAGAGTGCATTGTTCCAGTATATTCACATGGAGAGGTAAATATCTGTTGGACTATATGAAAATCAAACCACCAAAAGTAAAGCCCAAATGAATACAAGAAGTAAATATCGGTTGAATATGAAATTAAGTTAATGAGCGTGTTGTTCCAGTATTCACATGGACCCATGTGCTTAGAAAGGTTCAAGTTTTCACATACGTAAAGGCATGGTTATTATGTATTGATTGCCCTCCACAGGTTCCCGTTGACCTAGCTATACGTTCTGCCTCTTAAACTAAGTTATTAATTTGACTAAAAGGAAGCCCTATTAAGCCAGGTTGATATCATATTTCGGAAGAGGGGCAAAATTGTTGCTTCCTTCTGGCAAAGGGAAGACTATAATGGTTTCTTCTAACATACTGCAGCTTATGATACTCCCCAAAACTAGATTATCACATGAAAAGTATTCAACATGATCAAACAGTGCTAAATAAGCTGTCTATTATATAAAAGGAAGCGGTTGCAAATATAGTTATGATGTTGATAAACTAACAGAACATGAATGACCAGATAGTGTTAAAATAACTAAACAGCTTGTAGATGCTTCTCAATAGCTAAATTATGTTCATGTAAAGTAAATCAACATGATCATAGTGTTAAACAAGTTGTCTATTATATAAAATGAAGTGGCCACAACTGCGTGATTAAAAAAAATTGAATAAGCTGCAATTACATAAAATGAACAGCCCAGAAATATATTTATTATTTAATATTGATAACCTAAAAGAACACAATCATGAGCATGAGAAGCTCATATATCTCTCACTAGATCACTGATGAAAGTTGACGCATTTACAGAGAAACATTGGACTGTGACAATATGAAATATGAATACAAAGTCAACAAGAAATCTAGAATTTGCAAGCAAATGTAGATTTCTTTGTAAGCATGGATCTACAAGAATATAGGGTCAACAAATAGATCCAACCTGTTGCCAGTTGCCAGCCACCCCCACTGTACTATAGAAGTTTCAAATTCACGGTGCAGAGATGAAACTTAACTTAGTAAATGAACTGAACCTAGACCAAGATCTTTATTTGTCCAGATACTTAGACCCCAATAAAACTTTAAGGCATTAATCAGGAATGAGCATCTGTGACACATATTGGCTACTATCAACATGTATTGCTCGAAAATATCACATTTAAAAAAATATCTACTTGGTTTGGCAGTCTTTTTTCTCATTTAGTGTAAATTAAACCCAACAAGCACCAGATTGTCAAATACAGACATTTTCAAGTAGCGTAAGCACCATGATACAACATGTCTTAACATCCTTTTTCTTTACGAGTGATCTAACTTACGCTAACAATAACGTTAAAGATATACATGAAAGATATTTGTCCTAGCATTTTGAAGAAGCATAATTTGGCACATCATACAAAAGTTCAAAGAGAACACTTACCGCACATCTTCTCTCATGCCAACTCGTGTATACTACTTCTATCTAGTGGCTTAATGCTTCATCAAACCAAAATACAATTTCTGGAATCTCGTTCAGAAATTATTACAGAAGAAAGCTAAAATCCATGAACTGAAAACTTAAATGAACTTTCAAAATAGAACTAAGGATCAGCAGAATATAAACAAAAGGAAAGATATGTCTTCCCCTTTGTTCTATTATCCTAAACTAGTTAGATTGTTCTCCACTCGAAAGTGAGCCACCTCCCAATCATCTTATCTTCCCAAGACAATGAGACAACAGACCCTCTCTCTTCAAATTGACAAATTTAAAAGATTGTAATATAAAAATGGAAAACCCTCTCGGAACAAAGAGATTAAATTTCTCTCAAATCCTCAGCACTTCCTCTGCTCACCAACGCACAATCCATTCTCTCTCTCCCCCAATCTCAACTAACTGCTACCCAAGCTCTCTCTTACTCCTCTTCACTAACCTCACCACTCATC